GAGGCGGCCCCGCGCTGCCAGCGCCTGCCCCGCAGCTTGGAGAGAGTCCTGCTGAGCCATGCCTCGTCTCCCAACACGCCTCCTTGCTTCCTTCAACGAGTGGCCTGGGACCCCGGCGAGCTCGAGGGTCTGGCGGCAGGGTGGCCCTCAGAAGAAGGCGGCAGCGGCGGGGGCAGGAGCGGTGACGGCGGCAAGCGCAGCACCCGGCAGTACTGTAGCCCGCCCGGTAGGAGGAGCGCCCCATGGTCTCTCTATAGCCAGCGCTCGGTGTGAGCGCCTGGCTCTCTCGGCTTTCGCTGTTGACAAACGACAGCAGTTTGAATTTCCCGCTTTCCCCGCCTCTCCGGCCCCTTTTTCCCCCACTTTTTGGTTCGTACATCAATTCTCCGTTCGCAAGTCAAAATGGATTTTTGGGGACAGAGAAGTACGCAACTCAGGCCGTTCACAAGTCAAGACCCCACTGTACAGCTAACCAGCAAAGGACAATCTAGTCATTAGCCGCCCCCCCCTGCAGAGACCTCACGTTTGCAAAAGTAATAAGAATACTAGACTAGGATATTTCTAGAAATCTTGTTAATTCCAAAACTCTTCTGCATGAATTGTCTCAGAGACACTTCTTTGGTGCAGAAATCATTTTTCAGCTTTTTCCCTTTTCCTCATGCAGTCCTGCATTTCCTAAGATATATGAAACACCATCAAGATTTTTCCCATTGGACATCCAATGAGTTTGCATTTCTTCCTCACAGTTCAGAATGTACAACCCATTGAAATTCCAAACCATTCAAATCATGGGCATCCATTTCTACCAAGCTAAGAAAATAGTTGTAATAGTTAAAAATCAATTTTAATTTCCTACCTTCTATATCTTACACCTGGGTTTTCTTCCAGAGTAGCACACAATGTAACAATCTGCTCAGCTATTTCCTCCAATACATTGTCATTTGTCTTCTCTGTGATGGGACTGTAACAGCGATAGAATGCATTTGGGACATCAAGAGTAAATACCTAAGTCAAGAAAAAGCTTCATTATATACTGTTTTAGGAATGAGAATGTAACACAGGTGTAGACTCTGAGAACAATGTTTTTATTAGAATGCAGACAGGAGAAATATCTATGCTAACATGATTTAATGATTTGCCTCCAATCTCTTTGTCTGCTTGAGGCAATATGCTCCTTATTCTCACTCTCTCTGTCACTGTTTTCCTCTTACTCAGACACTGTATAACCTGTTCACTACCTGCACCAGTGACGGAACATGAGAGAGACGGAACTAGCTTCAAAATGGTATTGAGTAATGCAATGTGAAAATAGCCTTCAAGAGAAGAGAACCTCAAACCTGGAATTTTGCAGAAAAAATCTCAGAATGTGTCTAGAGGATCCAAGTTTAAATATCTATAAAATTATGCCCATTTGCTTTGTTCTGCTTTTTTTTGGGGGGGGTACATTTATAGATTTTTTAAAGAACTATGAACCTTTGCAGAACATACCTCTGTTAAAATATGGCAAGAAGGAAGAGTGTTAAGTTCATCTAACAGATAATTTGAAGAGCACGGAAAACTAACAAATTTTCCAATACCTAGGAAAGTTGGTAAAGTCTCACTCCTGCACCATTTGAAACATGAAGTGCCTAAACACTTTACATTTTCTTTCTAGTGACAAATGTTTTAAAAGAAGATGAAATAAACGTATAGTGCTGCAAATACATCATTTTAGTTGTCTGTGTAACCATCAACCTCTCCTAATTATGTTTTTTTCAAGAAGCAAAGAAAAATAAAACCTGCACATAGGTTTTATTTATAAAATCACATCTTTAGCATGAACTTTAAGTACAATCACCCTTTTACCTTTAATGAAACAAACTTCCTGCTGTTAATATAACTTCCCTTTCTAATCTAAGGGGATATCCAAAAGAAGACAGGAATACTCCAAACAGGAATTTCATCATAAAACTCAAAACACCTTATGAAAGGGTGTCTGCCTTCCTTAGGGATGGAATCCTTTGCTATTCTCTTTCAAACGGATTCAAGACAAAGGAGGGAATCTCTTAAACCAGCGATCACGAACCTATGGCACACGTGCCACAGCTGGCACACAGAGCCCCTTCTGCTGGCACACAAACCATAATATTTATTTATTAGATTTTTACCCCGGCCCCCTAGACAGTGTCTACTTGGGGCGGATTACAAGTTGTCGGATCGCTACTCCCCCCTGCGCAACCGGATTCAAGACAAAGGAGGGAATCTCTTAAACCAGCGATCACGAACCTATGGCACACGTGCCACAGCTGGCACACAGAGCCCCTTCTGCTGGCACACAAACCATAATATTTATTTATTAGATTTTTACCCCGGCCCCCTAGACAGTGTCTACTTGGGGCGGATTACAAGTTGTCGGATCGCTACTCCCCCCTGCGCAGCCAAACCTGAGAAGGGAGCTGCAGCCACGGTGATGGCGCTTTGGCAGGCGGATCCGGAGTATTTCCCCTTGAAACTAATGGGAGAGATTTAAAAGTAAGACCTGCTAACACAATTATATGAGGAAAACTACCCCATGTTCTAGCCAGTGCAACTCAGCAAGGCTTTGAAAGTCTACCATTCACCCTTCACATGCATCTCTTCAGGTTATAATTGCTCTTCATAAGGCTTATCCTGTATAACCTGAACACTGATTTTTTTCATTCATGCTTCATATGAATGTGTCAGCTGCCAATTTCTTTGTAAGTCAAGATTGTTTTCAGACTGCCATCTCCACCTCCCCCTTTTTTATGACTGTCCATGTACAACACTAGGCTGAAACTCAAGACAGAGCCATATCTCTTACTACCAGCATGATAAATAATATACTTCATCAATATTTTTAGTTAAAATGAACTATATTTGAACAGAATTCTTAATTATAGAACTCTGTGCAACCATTTTATTACTGCTGGAATTCACATTGTTCCACAAATAAGTAATGGGCTATAGAGTAATTTAATCTATAAAAATGATGTAATTTAAGTTTTTACTCCACTGAAGACAATATGGTGTAATGATGCACTACAGTCCTGAAGACCCAGGTTCAATGCTTCATCCACTGAGGAAATTCTCATACAGTAAAGTCAAAATGGACTAAACACTTTCAATCTTCCTCATGGATTGTGTGAGGTTAAAATGGGTGGACAGAAAAAAGAATGAGACATATAACTCTGCACTCCTTAGAGAAAAAATGCTAATGATTTTTTTTAAAAAAATCTTTACCAATAACAACTATTCCTACAGTTTTAACTTCTAGAGGTCCTTGTACAACAAAGCACTTTTTCTGGTGAAGAAAATGTACATTAAATCTACAAACTTACACATACTGATCTGAAAGTGTGATGAAATATAAACTAAGAGTTTCTTTTTCAATTTCAGTGTGTGCATGACTCATGTGCAACAAGACGAAGTCACACACCCTGAAATCAAAAAGGAACTCATTATTTAGCAGCAGTATCTCACTGTCAACGATGTCACTCAAGTTACAAAGGCAGAAATATGCAACAGGACATGGGATTCTAATAAGCCCATATCCTTCACTGTTATTCATTTTAACAAAGCCTTTTTTTCCCAGGGCGGGGTAGTCTTGGACACAGACACTTGCTTCCAGTAATCCTTCCAAGTGAAGAATATTGAAAGCTGAACAACAGCAACAGTTAGGACTATGTTTACACTAAGAATCAAAGCAACCCCAAACCCCTTCTCTAGACTTTACTTGAATGCACCACAAAACTTGATATATTTACATAACTGCACTCTTTTTATATTTTTTGGCAACATTTAGTGTTTTGCATAAATTCTGATGTTGCTAAATATGAGGGGGGAAAACAACCGGGCTGGCCACTAGTCTTATCAAAAACACTTGGCATCTTGTTCAATCTGATATCTGGCTCCGATTTCTGCTGTCATTGTACAATGTTTTTGAATATTTTATTTGCTTGCTTGCTTGTTTGTTTACAGACAAAAAGGCTGAAGGTTTACTTTTAAGAAAACAACATTCTCAGAAAGCTGAATTTAATATTCAATAATGCATTTTCTTCGTTCCCACAGATCTGCTGCACAAACACTACTTGCCGCAGCCATATTTTAGAGACTACAATTCAGCACTTTAAAATGGAAGTTGAATAAACTGGGTTTACCTGTGATTCATATGGGAAAAAGTTTATATTTATTTCTTTGCACCGTCGTATGGCCTTCGAACAAGATGACTTCATTTTATTGAAAAGTTTATCATCACAGACTAAGGACAAAAAGAAAAAGTTTCAATGGTCATACATATCTCAGACTTCCTTTTCACAGCAGACATGGTATGTATCTGTACAAAGCAGACTTCAGAAGAAGCCTTCCCCAGCAAATTATACACATAAGAAGACTCTCTTGAACAGTCCTTGCATTTGGACCCTCAGACATAAATTGGGAAGTTGTGGCCCATGGGCTGCAAAATCTAGTTCCAAGGCCTTCCAGGGATTCTGCAACTCCCTAACCCTGAAAAAATTATTATTGTCATCCAAAAAAAATTAAAAACACACTCCCACAAACCTCAGCACAGAACGTAATTTGCCTCTGACAGGCTACCTCCTTTCTTCATCCTGTTCCAGATTCAAAATAGCAATTTCTTTGGACATGAGAAGCAATTGTCCAGTCTGGGGCAAAGGGGTAATCTTCTCAATGGTTCCTGAGTGAATAACTTGTTATTTTTTGGACTTACATTTTTTTCCAGGGCTGAAAGCAGCTTGAGAGAGGGCATAACCCACAGATATTTGGGGAGGGCAAAAAGACACCTGACACCCTCAGAGGTTGCCCACTAGTTTTTATGTTTTTTAACTGAATATGACTTTTTTTGGCCCTAAGCATCCTGAGTGTTTTATGGATTCATGCTGGCAGGATATACAGTACATTTAAAAAATAACATAAAGCACCAGTGTAGAAAAAACTGCATATCACCTCCTCTACCTAATTTCTACTTGCTTCTTTTAAGGATATAATAACTTGATGGAATTTACAGTGGTGCCTCACTTAACGATGTTAATTGGTTCCAAGAAAACCATCGCTATGGGAAAACATCGTTAAGCGAAACACCATTTCCCATAGGAATGCATTGAAAACCGGTTAATCCGTTCCAATGGGAACGGATTGCTGTCCTTAAGCGAAAATCCCCATAGGAAACATCGCTAAGTGAAACAATGTTTCCCCCAAGGGAAAGCCATTCAAAAGCACTGAAGCCGGCTTCAGTGCTTTTGAAGCCCTTTCCAATGTCCGTTTTCGCTCATTTAAAAATGTCTTAAAATATTTGGAACATGTTTTAAATGTTTGGATTCGGTAGTCCACCTTGTGAAACCTATGCACACTTAGT